ATTCAACTACCACACTATTCTAACCAAAATCTTAACCATGACATTAAACAAAAATCTACACCTATTCTAAACATTGGCTCTAATACTAGTTTTAATCATAAATCTAACCCTACTGGACCCCTAATTGTAACCTTAACCCTATATATACTTGTAAGTCTAGAAATAGAATTAAATTTAATAACACTAAACTCAGATCTAACACTAATTTTCAGCCTATACATAAATATTTTCCCAAATCATATCTTTTACATAAAACTTAACCCTAGCTTAAACACTAGCTCTATATGTATCTCTGACTCTAAACAAAGCTGTAACCTTACCTCAAGTCTGTACCTAAAACTAAGTCTTCAATAACTTCTACCCCAGCTCCAACTATTCCTCCTACACTAACTTTACACCTGCCCTAAGCCTAACATCAAGCTCATCTTAACCCTAAAACTAACAAAAATGTAGCACTAATTCTATCCCTAGCCCTAACTCATATCTAACACTAGCCATAAAACTAAACTAAAAACTAGCTCTAACCCTATACCTAATTTGAATGCTAGCCTTCAACCTAACTCTAACCCTCCACTTAAAACACTAGCCCTAAGTAAATTCGAAGAATTAAGTGACCCTGGACCCTAAATATAACTTTACATGTAAAACTAACCCCAGGATCAACACTAATACAACAAATATAGCCCTACCTTAGCACTAAGCCTCCTCTAACTCTTAAGCTAACCTTAGAAATAACAGCACTACTGCTATTTCCAAGCCCTAAATCAAACCTTTAACCTGCCTCTAACCTAATCAAACCACTAAATCAAGTATTAGCCATAACATTGCATAAACAAAGCCCTAAACCTATGACTAATTTTATTCCTCAAACTTAACAAATCTTTACACTTAACCCAAATACTGCCTCTAACCCTACTCTTAACCCTAAGATTAACCCTAAATCTAGTCCTAATTCTAACACTAGCCTCAACATCTAACCTTGCTAGATTCTAAACCTAACACTATTTTTAACACAAGCCTAACATTATCTCCAACCCAAGTTGTAGCACTATCCCTAACCACAAACCTAAAACTAATTCTATCCTAAACGTAAGTGGAAGAGTAACCCAATCCAAGCACATAACTAAGCCTGCAAAAAACTAAACTCTTGCCCTAAACCTATCCTTAGCCCTAAATAGAATTGTAGCACTACCTCAAGCAAAATACCTAAGAATAGGTTTTAAACTAACTTTAATTCTTGTCCTAACAATATTTGTAGCTTTTAAAGAACTTCATAGCAAGCCCTAAACTATTTCTAATGATAATCCTAACAATGGCTCTCCTAGTAGTCTGAACCATAAACCTAAACTTAGCTCTAACCTAAATTGTCATCAAAACCAAATCTTAGCTTTCACCATGAATTTAACCCTAACTCAAACACTAGCCCTAAATAAATTGGAAACCAGAAACCCTACCCCTAACCACTAGCCCTCACAATAACACCTTAAATAACCATATATCTAATTAGTGGAAACATTAACCCTAACCATAATCCTAAGCCTAACACTTCATGCTTAATATTAACCATAGAAGTTTCCCTCCCTTAGCACTCCAAGATGACACCCAAAGCAAGCACTAAATCTAACCTGATACCAACACTAATTATAAACATAAACATACTCTGAGTGTCAACCACCTCAAATAGCCATTCAATAACTCAGAACACTATCCCTAACCCCAACTTCATAACCTTAAACCTAACCCGAACCTAACCTTGACCCTAACCATTACTGAACTCTAATGCTAACCCTAATTATAGCCTAACCCAAAACTAACCAAACCCTAACTGTAACCATGATAGTAAACATTAAAACAACACCCTAACCCAAACCTCAAAACTCAAATGTTAACCACAAACCTAACCCATTTTCTATTCCTAACCCTAATCTACAATAAACCTAACACTAAAAGATGAAAGTCTAACCCTAACCTTCTTACTATGACTCTAAAGTGAACTTCATTCCAACTGAAAGTCAACACTAACAATAAACTTTACCCTAATACTAAGCCTAATTCTAACTCCCAACTTCATTCCTGATGTAGGTGGGTCATTTGTCTATGTGTTACTTTCATTGGTTAATAAAGAGACTGCCTTGGTCTTTTAATAGGGCAGAAAATTAGGTGGGCAGAATAGACAGAACAGAATGTTGGGAAGAAGGCAGAGTAAGGCAGACGTCACGATTCCCCTTCCTGAGAAGGATACTGGCTAGACTCATGCTGGTAAGACATGACCTCGTAGTGGCATACAGATTATTAGAAATGGGTTAATCAAGATATGAGAATTAGCCAATAAGAGGCTAGAACTAACGGGCTAGGCAATGTTTAAATGAATACAGTTTCCGTGTAATTATTTCAGGTAAAACTAGTCAGGCAGCCAGGAGCCGGGTGGGACAAAAAGCAGACCACTGCTCCTTTAACACATTCCTAACCTCCTAATACCAACCCTAAACATAACCCCTAACCCTAACTGTAACACTAACCTGAACTCTACCACCAAATTTAATCCTAACCCAAAATTAACCACCAAACAGAAATTATAACCTAACACTAAACCTAACTCAATCCTAAATCTAACAAATCATAACCAAACCTTAACACAATTTTAACCTTAACACAAACACAAACCTAAACCCTAACCCTAATCCCTAAAGCTAACCCTTCATCAGAACATATGTTTCATCCCTACAGGCACAAGGCCAATAAAGTTTGTGTTCATGTGTAAATATAAATGCAATTCTCAAGGTGCCAGTATCTACTCTTCCTTAAAACAAGGCATCTGGAAGGTGGGCTAAGGTAGGAGTGGTAATCCAGGATGTCATAGGTGATAATATTTATTTTTTCCCAGGTCATAAATGCTGAAATAGTTCATATAAACACCCTAGAGAAAGCATACCAACAATGTGGGCACAATTCACTGTGAATTAACCCAACACACATTACCTAGTGCCTCCTATACACCCACATGCCAGGGACACAGTACACTGATGTGACTCATGTCCCATGTAAGCACTTGACAATTCCCAGATGATGGAAAGCTTTTGTTAGGTATTTCTAAATTCCAATTAAAATGTGAAGAAATTAAGCTAGTAGATGTTTTCATTTTTAAATAGAGGAAGAGAAAACTAGATCTGGGTGGGTTTGTGCCTGTTAAGGAAAGCCTGGCAGAACCAGATGTTAAAGAAGGAACCCTTAACCCTTAAAGAAGGAAGTCAGGGGATCTGAAGGCCATCCTTATTCACTCCATCATCCCTAAGAGGATACCAGTCTCGGGCACCTACTCCTTCAGTCCTCCCAGAACATAACAAAATCCTATTCTGGGCTTAGTTAACTAAGTAGTCAGCACATCACCTATGTTCCTCAGCACTGAGAGCCCCTCCCCATTACCTTTCTTCCATCTGGCCTGGGACTCATGAGAATAAAAACCAGGAGGCATGTGCCTTTAATCCCAGCACTTGGGAGGCAGAAGCAGGCAGATCTACAGAAAAAGTTCTAAGGTGGCCAAGTCTACACAAAGAAACCCTGCCTCAATTATATAAATAAACAAACAAAAAATATTTTTAAAAGAAAAAGAAAAGAAAAAAGATGGTTTGCCAGTTACAGTAAATTATGGCCACTCAACCAATCACTGGAAAAAAGTGAGAAGATAGGCTCATTTTTAAATGGAATATAACATTGTTTTGGAGTTACAAAGCTTTACCATCTACTGTCTTGTCTGTTTAGTTTGATTCTCAGAATAAATAACCTAAGAAACAAAGTTTATGATGTATCCATTTTACGGATGGACAACAGAAACCCAGGAAGAGTGGCTTTTACTAATTCTAGGATGCAAAAGAGATAAGGGAATACAGAGAAGAGGTACTTTCCTGAGTGGATCAGGGAAGGGTGTATCACAAAAGGCTTCCCGAAATTAAACAATGATTGAGTAGAAAATCATAATTGTAAAATTTTTAATAAGTAAATAATTTTAAAAAAAAAGAAAAAGAAAATCACAATTGTATACCGGCACCAGTTGAAAAAGAGGAGACTCCAGGTACATGGCTCTGCAAAGGCTTGCGAACATGTGGGAGTCTGGGAAGTTGACAGGATACAATGATGATGGAACTATGGCAATAGCTGACACTATGCACCAATTAATGAAGTATGAACTTTATCCTTAAAGCCAAGATGTTTCTCTTTTTCCCTGTCTGCACACACACACACACACACACACACACAAGCACACGCACACACACACACACACACACACACACACAATATTCTCAACAGAGAGAAAATGTGCACAGATATGTGCCTTAGATCTTTCTCAGTGGCAAGGTGGGTGGAGGTTGGACAGGCTAGGCTAGTTGTTCAAGAATCCTAAAGAGATGGTGGGGGTAGAAATCAGAGGTGTGTCCCCAAATCTCCTGGTGCTACTGGGTAAGAATTTGTCCCTCGTGTCTCTACTTCCTCTGTCTATAAAGACAAAATAATAGGTTTGCATCTGTCTGCCTTGGGAATTGCTTGAAAATTAATGGTGCAGAGACCTGGCTAGCTTCCATGAGTTAAACAACACCCTTGTACAGTATACTACTGACACACATTAAATGCTGATATATAAAATGTGTTTTGAAGGTGGATCTGAGAATAATTATAGTTTGTTAATTATTGTTAATTTTACCACAGCTTGGAATGGTGGACTTTCTCTAGATTCTACAAGAGATTACAGTCCCTCCATACCATTAAATAAACACAGTTTCTCACAGGCTCCATTCTTTCATTATACTTAGTGGTTCAGCCACCTCCATTGATTACCAAGAAAGAAAATCAAATTGTAAAGGCTCTCTCCTAGTGGGCTTACTGAATCTCCAAAAAAAAAAAAAAAAGTTTCTTTTCACTTATCTTTAACAAATATAGGCACACATGTGCATTCAAAAGAACTTTTAATACTTGGCACACCAACCAGGACAGCTGGATTCTGCAGGTGATGTGGTAATAGAATTGTTTCACTAGCCTGTCTTCATATTCTGCATCACTTTGTTTTCATAAATATTCATTTACAGGCCGGAATCCTGGGAAATCGGTGGCTGGGTGACTTCAGGTCTCCTTGCCTCATCTGCATCATCTCTCCTAGAATAGGATTTACTGACAGTACTGCTTGTATCCTGTGAGGTTGCACTAATGTTGGTGACCAGAGAAAGAATGAAGGAACTACCTAAATGTGTTATGAGGTGTCCTGGAGCAAGAAGAGAGGGAAGCAAAGAGACTGAAGATAGGAGCTGGGAGAGAAAAAGAGGAGGTATGGGATTATGGGACCTGGAATGAGATGGGCGATGGGCGTGGAGTTCAGCAGCTGGGCCTTTAGAGGAAATGAGGAGGCTGCACTAAGAGAGATAGGACCCCTGGTTTGGAGCCATAAAGAGGGCAGCGTCTCCAGGGTGGGGCCAGGTAAGTACTGGTTTCCTCTGTGGACTTTTGGTCAGCAGATGGCAGGAGCAGCCTCCCCTGCCTGATCCTATCTCAGGAGGCTTCCTTCGTGGGACCTGGGAATGGGGAGTGCCACCCAGATTCCACTGGGTGAGTCACTGGCTAACCAGTCCTGCAGGTCCCTGAGGATATAAGAGCGGGAGGGAGCGGCCCAGCAGCAGTCTCCGGCAGCTTCCTACCCAGTCTGATCGTTCAGAATCCCGGCTCCTGGTCAGTAGCTGTAAGTACACTTTCCTCCACCCCACCATGGCTAGGGGCTCAGAGTTAGCTCCTCTGCTGCTACTGCTGCTGCTGGCAGTGGTGACCCGCTTTTGCGTGGCACAGACGGACTGTAAGTGTCCCACCAACAAAATGACCATCTGCCGCTCTGAAAGCCCAGGTGGCGTCTGCCAATGCCGGGCAATTGGCTCACAGGTGTTGGTCAACTGTGCCACGCTGACTTCCAAGTGCCTGCTGCTTAAGGCGCGCATGAGCGCCCAGAAGAGCGGCCGCACCCTGGTGAAGCCTAGCGAGCACGCGATCGTAGACAACGATGGCCTCTACGACCCAGAGTGCGACGACAAAGGTCACTTCAAGGCACGCCAGTGTAACCAGACTTCGGTGTGCTGGTGTGTAAACTCAGTGGGCGTGCGCCGCACGGACAAGGGCGACCTGAGCCTGCGCTGCGACGAACTGGTGCGCACCCACCACATCCTCATTGAATTAAGCCACCGACCGACCAACCGAGCCTTCAACCACTCTGACTTGGACTCTGAGCTGCGGCGGCTCTTCAAGGAGCGCTACCAGCTGCGCCCCAACTTTCTGTCCGCAGTGCACTACGAGGAGCCCACCATCCAGATAGAGCTGCGGCAGAACGCGTCGCAGAAGAGCCAGGGAGACGTGGACATCGCTGACGCCGCCTACTACTTCGAGAGGGACATCAAAGGCGAGTCGCTTTTCACTGGTCTCCGCGGCCTGGATGTGCAGGTGCGTGGGGAGCCCCTGCACGTGGAGCGGACTCTCATCTACTACTTGGACGAGAAACCTCCCCAGTTCTCCATGAAGCGCCTCACCGCTGGTCTCATTGCTGTCATTGTTGTGGTTGTGGTGGCGCTAGTGGCTGGCGTGGTCGTCTTGGTGATCACCAACCGGAGAAAGTCAGGAAAGTACAGAAAGGTGGAGCTAAAGGAGCTGGGGGAGATGAGAAGCGAACCTAGCTTGTAGATGCCCAGCAGGTACTGGGCTACCGCATCACCCCAGACGGAATGGGCTGGCCTGTTGGTTGATTCTTGGCCAGGAGGTAATTTTCCTCCCAGCTCTGACCTCTTCCTTCTCTATTCACAAACAAATTCGCTAGATGCTGAGTTCAGGTCACCTCCTTGCCTTTGGTCTTGAAGGAAGCATTTCTGAAATTCCTTGTTCCGTCAATAGAAACCTGACCAGGGACTTAAGCAAAGGTGGCTTAGTTAAGAAGCAAGTGCCAGCCCGAAGTTGTTTCCCAGAGTCTTGAATCCACCTAAAGATTTAAATCAGTTGAAATGGGAAAGCAGTGCTTTTATTGTCCTGGGTTGGTATCTGTCTGCTCCTTGTCTTCCCGGAAAGAAGAGAAGTTCACTAATTGAGCCTGTGCAGTGTTCTTCATCCGCCGTCGTTTGTACCGGAAGAAAAGGCGTTTCCAATATCTGAATACATTTTAGATGTCTCTGTTGGACTGTATCTATTCTTCTGCCTGCTCTTGATAGAGCTGATACTAGTAATCTTCCCTTTGTAAAATGTTTGTACAGATGCGTCCTTGATAATGCTGCTGTTTTTTTTAAGCAACAACTCAAGTTTAATAAAATATGGGAAAGGCATAAACCTGAAGATGGACTGTGTGAAAATTCCCTCCAGAATTATATCATTTTGTTGGTTTCCTTTGTCTGATGCTTGGGTTTTACATTTTAAATTCTAACTAACGCTCCCTTGTGACATTCTAACATTGGCTACTGAAATTCTGGGGTTTCCTGCGGGCTGGGGTGGTGTCTTTGCCTACCATCTGACAGGCCCTGGGTTCTGTTCTCAGCAGGCATCTGGGGAAGGTGGGCGAGAAAGATTGAAACTTTGGAATTGCAGTTGCCTTGAAGGCGGTTGCTAAAATCTAGCCGCCTTCAAACCGGCAGAGGTGTGAGAGATGGGAGCAGCCTCTGGCTGCTTATTAACAGACAAACCTTCCTTATATAGTTCTTAAGCCATGTGGAGGAGCTAAGACCACTCCCAAGAATTCTAGGAAATGAATGACTAGGTGGGTGGCCTCAGGTCTCTGCGACTCATGTTCTGAAGAATAGGGCTAAGAGTCTGTTTCTCTCTTGTAAGGACACTCACCTGTTGGCGATGGTCAGCTGTATAAATGTTTGCTACTGAGTGTTGGGGGTGGGCAGAAGCGGGGCGGGGGTAAGGGGGAAAGATCTGAAGGTAGAAGTTGGGAGAATGGGGTGGGGCAGCGCCTCCAGATGCTTTCCTGAAATTCCAACATTTACTATTGGTTCCCTGCTAGTTTCCGAAGGTGGGAGGTGTGGTTGCCTAGCAAAGGGAAGCTGCACGGGGGTAGAGCCTGGGCGGGCTGACTGGTATCGGTTTCCTCTCCTGGCTTTCGTTTGCCCAGAGGCATATGCAGTGTGATGCTATCGCGCGCAGGGCTGGCTGGGTACTCCGTGGAGAGGGAGGGCCACCCAAATTCCTTTAGGTGAGCCGCTGGAACCAGCCGATCCGGTCTGACGGAGAATAAGGGCAAGAGAGAGAAGGGGGGGGGGGGGGGGCGGTGCAATCCGCAGAGTTCTGCAGTGTACCAACACCCAGCCCTAGCCTGCCAAACCCCACGTCTGGTCCACCCCTTCGCGCCCGGGCTTACTCCAGTACTGCGAGTACTAAAAGTGATGCCCTGCTTCGCATCGGCCCAGGACAACGACACTTGATCTGCCAAATAGATGGAGACCCAAGAGTTGCTGCCACTGTCGAGTTCGGCTTGGGTTTGGTGACTGACTGCTCCACGCTGACCTCCACGTGCAGCCCGCAGCTCAAGTGCGTGTGCTGGTGAGGCTCCTTCGTTTCACAAGCGTATATTCTTCTAAGAGTCCTACTCTGAAATAGGAGGTACTAATCTCATTTAGCTGTTGGGCAAATACACTAATCTTGGTGTTCAGACTGTTAAGGAACTTCCCCAAGCCCATATTTATGAGCACTTGCACAATTTTTCCATTGCTGTACAAGTCAGTCACCGATTCCATCAGCTTACCGCTTCCTTTTCGCTCACTGCTACTCATGAGAAGCCAAGAGTGTCGCTCTGGGACAGCAAGCCAATGTAATAGCTGGGAAGCTGATATTCCCCAAATATTTAGATGCAAGGCTTTCTTCCGAAGAAGTGTATCTCCTCCCTCCCCTCCTCTGCTGACCAAACTGAGCCTCAGTCTAAAGTACCTTGCTAAGGGGTAGCAGCTCTTAGAGGCCTGTTTTCTCAGCCTGGGGCTGTGGGTGTTTGGCGTTGGTGGTTTAGGTTGCTGCTGGGGAGGAATGACTATCAAGCTGAAAACTTCCTCTGCTGAGTGAAACCATTTAAAGGAAGGGAGCGGGTGCAGGCAGGTTCCCAGAAGTGGCTTGGAGGTGCCTAGTTACTCCCTAGTGAGAGAAACTCTGCAGTCCTCATTCCTCTTTCAGAGTCACCCTAGGGTCCTAGCTGAAAAGTCTTAGGGGAGGGAGAAGCATCCTTTGACCTAACCTTCCACTGTAAGGGTAAAATGAACAAGGAGTTTCCCAAAACTAAATTTCTGTGGCCCAGTTGGAGCTTACAGGTTTCATTAAATTAACTTATCTTCAAAAATCAAATAAGCAGATGCGAATGTGGGTGTGGGCAATAGAAAAAGGAGCTCTCCGAGAAAGCCTTCCTCTATCAGAATGAGGGTACAGCTGAAACATCAGTTTCTGCTCTTAGCCCCGAGTAGATGCTTTGCACCTTACAACGCTCAGAGTTGGCTACCCTCTCACAGGCGTGATCTTTGAGATACTGACTTACTGGAGCATCCAAATTCAAATCCTGCTTGGGTGAGAAAGTCACTAGCTCCCGCCTCTGTGCGAAGATGACATGAGGTATTTGACGAGTTCGGCTTATTTACACTGCTCTCTTTTCCAGATCAAATGACACAAGAAAACTAGAGTCTAAAGAGGTTGATATGTGTGCGCATCTTCCATGAGCCAACGTCTTCTTTGACTTCCTGGCCCATGCAACCGACATGAGCACATCCTCTTCATTTCTTCCAAGCTGGTGATATTTCTGTTTTCAGCTCAACCTATGTGCTGAGGACAGAGCTCCTGAAGCAATGACCTTCAGGACTTTGGCCTCTTTCTCCAGGATTCCCCCTCACTCCAAAATTTCCCTTTCACTGGCTGGTTTCAGTTCAGGCTGGTGCTGGGCCTGAGAGGAATGTGAAAAGCAGGTGGGGCTCTCATCAGGTCTCAACTCGTCCTCTGAGCCAGCAGCAGTCAAGGTTGATTTCCTTGTGAGTCACCAGGGTTTTCTCCACTATTTCCATTCCCTTAAGAAGAACAATAGTGAGCATTATTTACCACTCTTGCATATTTTTGTTTACTGTTTCCAGGTAGACCATTAGAGACAGGAGGAGTGTCATTTTAGTTGAATATTTTATTACTACAGATGAAGTGATAAAACACAGAGAAAAAGACTTCCCTAAGCGAGGAAGCAGGTGGCAGTTATACTTAGTTCCTAAACTCCTCACGGTCCTGTCTAGTGTTCATTCTGACTCCTGCCTGGTTACTCTCATTTGTTTCTTGATTATTTACACACATTTTTTAAAGACAGGGTCTCATTCTGTATTCTTGGCTGGGTTTGAACTCACTCTATAAATCAGGATGGCCTCAAACTCTGCCTCTGCTTCCTGAATGCTGAGATTAAAGATGTATGTCACCCTGCCTGGTGATTTTTTATTTCTGCTTTTAAGATATGATTATTCTATAGCTTTTGTATATCATTTAAATGGGAGTGATAGTTTGGTTAAATGATTGTTAGATGGTCTTTCCTTCTTTCCTTCCTTCCTTTCTTTTCAAGACAGAGTTTCTTTGTGTCACAGTTCTGACTGTCCTGGAACTCTCTTTGTAGAACAGGCTGGCCTCGAACTCACAGAGGCCTGCCTGCCTCTGCTTTCTGAATGCTGGGATTACAGGCATGTGACACCACCACCCAGTTCAAATGTGTTTCTTTTTAAACTTCAGGTTTACTCCCTCATGGAAGCTGCATCATGTATGAATGAAAATTATTTGAGAGAATCCGAATTGAGAATGCCACTGAAGGGGCTCCCTGCATAGGGAGTAGAGGTCTAGTATCTCTGCTAGAGATTTCTGAGGACACAGGATGAAAGAGTTTGGCACTGGGTAGCTGGGTGATGAGGCCTTCAGAGCACAGAGGAGCTCCCATGGCAAGACAGACCTCTCGAAGCTACCAGGCCAGGTAGATTTTTGTCCTATGTCCCCAAGAACTCCCTCTCCACATCACAGCTGTTTCTTTTTAATTTAATACCCAATTCCAGTTTTAAAGGACGTCTTGGTCCTGCCTTATCTCTTTTTTCCTCTTCCTATCTTTCCTTTTTCTTTTTCATCTCTCAAAAAACAAAGACAGTCCTGATTTGAGAGGTCTCCATGAACTCCTGAGAAATGGAACTGTTCTGCATTATCTACAACATATTTTTACCTCTTTTCTTCAAATTCCTTTCTGTCCAAACTCCCCTATCTCAACCTTCTTTTCTTGCTCTTAAAGCAACCCCTACCATTTAGGATTTGTTCCTCATGCTTTCTATCAACCCAATACTTTTCATTAGTCTTTCTTACTGTGAGATTCTTTTCCTTCGCTTTGCTTTCCATGAATAACCATAATATCTGATAAAATAATACACACAGTACTATCAGTGTCTCTTTAAACACCGAAACAAAGCAATTGGTGCCTTTAGGATGATGGTTCTGTAGTTGACTATAACTCTATTTTCATGAAGGGTCTACCCCAGATAATAACTAATGAAGCAACTTGCAAATAGAATTTTACTCTCATGAATGGAATGAGATTAGAGAATAGTGCCCTGAATACTAGTCTTATAGAGGAAATGACTCTTCAACACTTCCTCAAACTAATTTCTCTAGAACATTGAAGACACTACCACAGAAAGAGGAAAAGTGACTTAAATAAAAACTTGCCAGATGCACAGGTACCAACGCAAACACAAAAAGTAACATGAACAGAAAGACAGCTTGTCTCCTCCAAAAAATACTAATCCCACAGTATTGACCCCAGTGAGAATGATTCCAATAAAATATAACTTCAATGACAAATAAAATATAATTTCAATGACAATTCAAAAGAATGATTATAGACATATTTAAAGAAATCAGAGAGTATGTGAATAAACTCCTGAATGAATTCTAAAAAACACAAAGAGCCTAATGATATAAGGTTATAAAAATAGAATTTAGTCAAGAGATAGAAATGCTGGGGGCTGGAGAGATGGTCCAACAATGAAAAGCTGTACTGCTCTTGCAGGGAGCCTAAGTTCTGCTCCCAGCACCCACTTTAGGCATCTCCATGGGTGCCTGCATTCCTGTGCACATACCTGCACAGAGACACATAGATATACACATATTTTAAAATAAAATAATTTTTAAGACAAACTAATATGAATAGAAACTGAAATGGTAAAAATGAAAGGTTCAATAAGTTAAATAACAAGCTCAGATGAGTACCTCACCCATAGAATTGTCATAGAGAGAGCAGAATATAGGGACTGAAGACAAGGTAGAAGAATTGGAGTATTCTGTCAAGAACAAAGATACATTATTTAAAACATACATATGAAATATGGAAGATCTATGGAACACTAAGAAAATAATTACATACTAAAAGCATAGAAAATATTTT